GACATTTACGTTTAACTAAAATCAACTAAAATTTGTTAAGGTTATATTTTTAAAAATACTTTTCAATACTTTTTAAGAAAATAAAAACAATAAGAATAAAATATATTGAGATAGAGTCAACGTCAATTTCAAGTTGTCAAATATATTGTAAAGAAATCAGTCTCGTCACATAGACGCTTCTCAAATGTTGTTCGGAGATGTGGGCAAGGAGTAGGAAGAACGTTGATAAAGTTGACTTTTTTTCAAAAATATATTTTAGACTATGAAGAATGATAAGTTATTCGTTAACGATAGAGATAGGAGGAAGCATAAATTATTCGATATTAAAGTTTTTAAGAGTAAATTAGTTAAGAGAGGTTTAAAACACATAATAGCAGAAATGAAATAAACTTAATGCAATAAAATTCATATAAAGTATCTTTAGTTTAATTTTATTCCAGTAAATATTGGAGTTTTCTAGTGAATAGAATTTTAAAAATTTTTCATAAAATATTATAAAAAATGATAGTAAAAAGTGTGAAATTTTTCTGATTGGAAATTTTGTCTCTATTCTGGTTGACCTTTTCGTCTTTCCTCTAATTCTCAATCTTGATTACATGAATAATTTCAATGTGAAATTATTTTATCCATATTGAATAACATATTTAATGAAAATTAATCTTAACAATATTGTAAAAAACAAAATTTAACAAAATTTTCGTCAAATATTTTGTTTTAATTAATAATTTTGTTTTTGAGTATTTTTGTAAAAAAAAAAAAAAAACGAAATTTATTTTTTGTATTTTCTTATAAAATGTTACTTTTGTTTTATCTTTAAATATGAAATGATAAATAAAATAAAGTTAAATAAAAATCTTTATTGAAAGAAAGAAAAATTGTTTTATTGTTCTAATAGAAATTAATGGAATCAAAATCATTATTATTAAATGATATTGAATTAATAAAAAAAAGTTCATTACATTGGCAAATAATATTAAATCGACCAGATAAATATAATGCAATAACAAGTGAAATGTGTGAACGTCTAACAGATATATTAAATGAAGGAGCAAAAGATAAAGAATTAGTTCTTGTTTCAATAACTGGAAAAGGAAAATATTATTCATCGGGAACTGATTTAATTGATTCTATGAAATTATTTGTAAGATCACCTTTTTGTTTTTGTTTTCTTTATATTATAATTAATTTTTATTATTAAAATAGGATTCAACAATAACAACAAATATTGAAATAATAATGGAAAAAGGAAAAATTCGATTAAAAAATTTCATTGAAAGTATAATAAATTTTCCAAAAATTCTTATTGGATTTGTTAATGGACCAGCTATTGGTATATCTGTATCAACATTAGCTTTATTTGATGGAGTTTATGCCTCATCATGTTCAACATTTTCTTTACCATTTACACGTACAGGACAAACAGCTGAAGGTTGTTCATCATATTTATTTCCAAATCTAATGGGTTTAATTCATGCTAAAGAAATGATTTTATTTGATCGTAAATTAACAGCTAAACAAGCTGAACAAAGAGGATTAATTACAAGAGTTATTCAAGATGATTTATTTGAAAAAGAAATAAATAATATTTGTCAATTTATTTTATCATTACCTAAACAAAGTTTATTAACAACAAAATCCTTAATACAACGATGGAATATTGATACACTTAAAATTGTTAATCAATATGAAGTTAACACTTTAAAACAACAATGGTTAACTGAAGAATTTCCAATAGCTATTTTCAATTTTATTAATCGAAGAAAAAAATCCAATTTGTAATATTAATCAACTATTGATTCATTTTTATTTTTATTTTTGTTTTTTTCTTCTAATTTGTCTTTCAATATATATATATAGATTATTTACTTGTTAATTT